GAAGACATATTTCCAGTCCTCAAAGAACTCAAAGTCTATGTAGTGAGAAGACAATAAAACAACCACAGCTCAGTGAGGTAAGACCTACAGCAGAGATCTATAAAGAAGTTTTTGTTTGTTTGTTTGTTTGTTTGTTTTTTGAGACAGAGTCCCACTCTGTAGCCCTGGGTAAAGTACTGTGGCATCATCATAACTCACAGCAACCTCAAACCCTTAGGCTCAAGCAATCCTCTTGCCTCACCCTCCAGAGTAGCTGGGATTATAGGCATCTGTCACAATATCCAGCTAGTTTTTCTGTTTTTAGTAAATATAGAGTCTCACTACTGCTCAGGCTGGTATTGAACTCCTGAGCTCAAGCAATCCAATCCTCAGCCTCTCAATATGCTAGGATTAAAGGTGTGAGCCACTGCGCCTGTCCTACAAAGAAGTTCTATGAGCAAAACAGGCACAAGTAACTCCACCTGGGAGAAAAAAATCATATGTGAAATGTTGTTTGAATAGATTCTTGATTGATGTTGGTAGTTAAGCATACAAAGAAAAAAGGCATAAGGAACAGCATATGCAAAGGCTCACAGCAGTAAAAAGTACCTGGTACGTTCAGAGTACTGCAGATTCTAGGGGAGATACAAGAAGCACATTGGTGAGTAGCAGCTGAAGTTTTAACAAAAAGGCAGGCAGGGACCAATCATGAAAGGCCTTGTACAACATACTAAAACATTTGGACTTTATTTTGTATGCCAGAGACTTTCAAACTCTTTTCTATATAGCTATATCTTTTCTTTCCTTTTTAATAAATTCTCCTATGGATGCCAAGGAGATCAAAGTAGAGCTATCTTGGGCCTCAACCTGCTCCTCTTCCCTTTCACTGCATTCTGCCTTCCCAAAATAGGCCATGGGCTCCACAGATCCCACTGGAAACCAACAGTGACAAGGAGGATTCACTGGCAGAGTTTAGACAGGAGAGAGGTACAATCCACCTGTGTTTTACAAAGTCCAGTGTGGAAGATGCACTGAAGACTAAAGCAGGGTGGACCAGCTATGATCTAATTATAGACATCAAGGCCCAAAAAAAAAAAAAAGTCATTAGATAAAAAAGCTTAGGGAAGAGGAAGAAAAGTATCACATGTGAAGAGTTACATCGAGGCCGAATCAGTAAGACTTGACGACTAAATAAGCATGTGTGGTGAGGAAGGAGCACCAGTGGACTGGTGGTAACTTTCACTGCCACAGGGAGTACCCATTAGCTCAAGGAAGGGAGATTTTACTGTAGGGATGTATATGAAGTTAGAACTGGAAATGGGAAGCCACCGGAATCTGATTCTCTTTCAAGGCCTGGTATCTGTCTGTCTGCTTCTATTCTCTTTTTCTATGACAACAAGCATCCTGTGCTTCTTTCATAACTCCAGGTCATTTATGAGCAAGGAGGCTATTCTAGTCCCAGTGCCACATGGGTTTCTGATTCAAGCACTCATCCCTAACTCATAATTTCTTGCTGGGGTTACTGACTGGCCCAGGTCATCACTTCAAATCAGAGCAATTTCCAATATTTAGCAGCAAGTGAGCTACTCTCTTCAAGTGTCCATCATTGGTCCACTACACTCCAGCCTGGGCAACAGAGCAAAACTCTGTCTCAAAACAAAACAAACAAACAAACAAACAAATAAAACCTTGTTTTTTTGTGTATGTAATAGGTATAGATCCTCTTTCCACCTTAACTTATTCAAAGTAATACTAATAAGTAACCCTTAGCATGTGCCAAGGATTAAATGCTATGCATACTTCAATATATTTAATCCTAACAGTAATTCTAAAGTAAATGCCATTATCATACCTATCTTACAGATGAGGAAATGGATTTACAGACAGGTTGAGAAACTTGACCTAGATCACACAGCTAGTACATATGCTAAAAGTTTCAGATCAAACACAAAAGTAACCATCATGGACATTCATTCAATGAAGCTCTAGATTTCTAAGTTTACCCTCTCCAATTACAGAAGTAGTTTTAAATACTGGGTTAAATGAGGCAATTGATCTTACAATGACTAGATTTAAGAGAAATTATAACTTTGAGAATAAGCTTTCAAGTGGCAGATGGTCTACTCTGATTTAACCCATTCATTTGGAAAGGTGATACTATTGCACAAAATCAGAGTCACTATTTCCTGGTGTTTATAATGCAACAAGTCCCATGCTAATATTACTGAATTCTCACAGCCATTAGGATATAGGCATTATTATCCCCATCTAGAGAGGAGAAGCCAAGGCCTAGAGAAGTTAACTGACTTGCCTAACATCACATGACTATTAAATTCTAGAGCCAGATAAGACTGAAGACTCCTTTGGTTCTAAAGGTCATTCCCTAATAATGTCCATTCAGCAGGAACTACATGTGGAGAGAGCAGGCAATGACTGGCACTGCTGATATATCTGGACTTGGACATTCTAAATTTCAGGTATAGCTTGGGCAATGTGAAGGGATAAATATGAGGATGAAGACAAACTTGGGAGTCATTGAACTCCTATGAGGTCATAGGAATAGAAAGAATTATCTTGAATGAATTATTTTTCAGTGAGAAGAGGAAACTGCCACAGGCAGAATAGCTGCATGTAAAGACCAGAGGGG